AAATTATTTGTACACCCATCAATTTTGAATATTTTTATCCATTTCTCAGAATCTAGTGCCCGTATGATGCTAGGTTTTTTATATGTTAATAAGCACAAAAAATGAATATAAAAACTCAATTTTCATAAAAATAGGTTATATACAATACAACAAATTTGACAAGCAAATTATGCAAAATATGAAATGTATGTGTTTCTGGTCTCTGATCATCGCATCTGATAAAATAATTTAATTTATTGCCCCTCTTTTCATCAACAATCTCAATGCATTTTCATTACAGTTTTGTTTTTCATTCTGAACCTGAAACACATCATTTAAAAACTTTTCCACCTTGCCTCATATATATATATATATATATATATATATATATATATATATATATATATATAAACACACAGAGACTGAGAGAGGCTGAAATGTAATTAAAGTTATTAAGAGATGCACAAACTGATAAATTTCCAACAAACATTTGAGTTATTTCAATATTTCTCCATTTATGATTAAATTAATTATGAAAACACAGTAGGATAATTAAAAAAATAAGTGAAATTAGTTCAGCCTAATTTAATGACATGGTTAGATTAAAAAAAATAAGTATTTAAGTTCTTAATATAAAGCACATTTTTCTTTCAGTAATGTCAATTTTTGTTCAAATGAAATCATGCTTCTAATAGTGTCTACTGAACTGCTGGTGAAACAGGTTAAGCTAATCACTACAATTTGTCTTATATATTTTTCATTTCATCATATTTCAACCAATTTCCCTCTCCCTCTCTCTCTATATATATATATATACACACACACACACACACACACACACCCTGGTGTAATAGCAAAATTGTTCAAATGTAACACCATAATTATCCATCCGACAAAATGTTTAATATCTGAAAAACCACTAAACTAATTGAGTTTCTTTTTCCAGGTTTTCAGATAAGACATTGAGCCATCTTGACACCATGTCCTAAGAATCACTGAAAAACCCTTTGAGTTATTCAACTAGAAAGAGAACAGGTTAAAATCATTTTTGGTCAGTTCCACACTCTTCCCAAATAAGCAATGGTGAGAGAAAAAAGATCATTCAGTAATGGTACCAACATTCATACTTTATTTTCCATTGCCAAAGTCCATTCAAGAACCATTGAGAGAATGGTGAATAAATTTTAAAAAGAGGGAACAGCAAAGAAGGAAACTGAATCAAGAAGTCACGATAGAAAGAGGGGTCATTATTTCAATTTAGAGATAAAGAGATCAATTAAAAAAGATTCAACTCAATCCAGAAGACATTTGGCACATGAGAGAGGAGTTTCAGCTATGACAGTTCAAAGAGCAGTGAAAAATAACTTGAAAATGAAATTGTAGGCGAAACATGTGAGGCACTTTGTTACTTCAGGACAGAAAGTTAGAAGGTTAGAGAAGGCAATGATCATCTTGAATAAATTGGAAATGATCCTGGAATTATATATATATATATATATGAACATTATTTCAATCCTTTATGAGTTTCCAAACCTTAGCTTTGATTAATTAGTGATGAACATGTCATTTTCGTTTATGATCGATTTCATCACGATTCTTCTGTTAAACTTGGAGAGGAATTATACATTCTTATTGCCCAAAGTATAGTTCAATAGGGTTAAATAAAACCTTGAAGATTTCCAGTAAGATATCTTTAATCATTTCTAAGATACAACAGTTCAAAGCTTAATCTAACAAATGGTTTGGTTTGGTTTGGTTTGTTTTGTTTTATGGCATATCAACCTCAATGGGTCATTTAATGCCAACAAATTTTTTTTCCTGTCAATATTTTGTTTTGTCAAAAATCTATTTCTGGTTTCTATTTTTTCCTCAAAAATGTATAGTTGGTAATATTATTTTAAAAAATGTATTGCTGGTAATAGTTTATTTTACTTCAAAAATTTATTTCTGATAATAATTTTTTACAAAGTTTTTCTGGTATTAAAACCTATTTTTACACTTTTATAATGCTTTTAACCTCAGTTTCAGGGTTAACTATTTGCCCATAGCTGGGACTCTAGCAAGTGCTACCACCCCAGGTCAGGGTGGACCTGGGAACACCAGCAATTAAGAGGTGGTTCCATGCTCTTCAAACCTTCTGATCAGAGGCCTTGCTGTTGGATGTAGTTTATCATCTTACCCTAGACGTGGATGTAGTTTATCCAGGATGAAATCTAACAAATGGGCCATTTTGCTAGTCAGTATATATATATATATATATATATATATATATAAAAGGAGAGCAATTAAGAGGATAAAATATCTTCAGATGTTTGAGTTTTGTTGATAGGAGAAAGGAGCTAACTCTAATATATGTAAAATCAAACTGCAATACACTGAATGTATTTTTCAAAGTATTCAAGATTAAACATAAATTTAATATATTGAATGATCATATACAGATCAATATGTGTACAGTTTCCGAAATCAGAGTCTATCATCAGTACTCAAATACATATTAATAGACTGTATATCCTCTTTGGGCATCACATAGCTGTATAGATATGGAATATCATCCCATGCCTTTGGCATCTGCAGACAAAATACATCAAGAGTTAGGTGAGCTAATTGAATGAATCAAACATTGTCCCATGATGTTTCAAACATTTAATAGGCATATATAGCTTTGTTTATTGACCGGTTTACACTCCTTCACTGTCTATTTAACAGGAGTAGAGGTTTATCCTTTGTTTGCTTCTTAGGATTGAGTTTCTTATAAAGCCTTCTCAATTCTCTTTCACTCCCAGTAACCTTTTGCATCTTAGTGGCATTATAGCCTTGCTTTGGTTGAAATGATTAAAAAAGAATAATGTTCATCCAAGACAGGGATATTGTTGGATATCTTGTAAAACATGAGGAGTAGTATGGGCATGGTGTGGGCAAGTATGACCCAGCTGTTGCAGAAATTGAAGCAGAATGGATTAAACAATGTACTGGATATACATGGCATTGTCCAATGTTCCTTCTACAAACACCAAAGATGAATGAGTTTTTTTTTTTAACAAGTGGATATCTCCACCACCGTACAAAGTGTTGAGACTTTGTGTCCCAGGTCTAGTAATGGCTGACAGCTTGTATCCGAATATGCCTGGCTTCTAGGGCAGCTAACCAATCCCTATTGCAGATGCTTGCTTAGGCACATTTGTGCTTATTCAACACCCACAGAGCCCACCTGTGGTTTATGCTACAAATATGCAGAGCATACCTTAGTTACAGTTTTCGGGAGAGCATTATCTAGCATGATTATCAGTCTGAACAAGTTCAGTACACTCATTTGTTTTAGATATCCTCATGGCAGAGACAAATATTGAAATACTGGAAATGTTGAGCCATTATTTTGAAATTTGAGGTCAAAAAAGCCATCAAACAGCTTTCACATGGGATATTACGGTCAAATCACGCTGAAACACCGGTTCTCGTACAATCACCGAAGTTAAACAACGTAGAGCCAGGTCAGTACTTAGATGGGGACCGCTTGGGAACACCTGGTACTGTAAGCCCCCCAAAGTCCAACCCTTACCTCACAGTCGGGGGGGGGTAAACAGTAGTGTCAGAGCTATGCCGCCGAACTTCGTTCCTGGTAGGCCACCCAAGGTGGACAGGTCTGACACACGCCCGACTAACAAGGGCTCTGGTGAAAATCCAAGGGCGTCTGCATCGGTAACCAGCAGCTTCTGGTCGTTCCTGTCTCTGCGTCTGTGGGAATCCCATGGCAAGCAAGAACGTTATTCGAGTAGGCCTGGGTACCCTACTTCTGTAATTTATCCCAAGAATCTTCTTCTCATAACAGGAAGAAGCTGGCTCAATCCGCCCAGGGTGAATGCCGCATCAGTACAGTACAGTACATGGGATATTATAGCAAGAGAAAAAGAAAATAGATGTTATTGATGTCTTGCTGAATTATTAGTTATCTTAAAACACTTAAATAACCCTAGCTTATTAGACAACAGAAATGAATTAATGGTTGCATGTAGGCATAAATAAAAAAAATCTGCTTAAATATGTTGATTCAGATTAACTTTTAATGTAAATAACGTCTTTCGTTTTTAAAAAAATAACAAGTAATCTCCCGTTATGCTAATTATAAAAAATTAAAAGTTAATATTCACAACTTTAATTCTTTTTACACACACATGCATATATATATATATATATATATATATATATATACACACACACACACACAAATCCTGCTTATTTTAAATGCCAAATATATATTTTAAAATTAAAAAAACTGTAATATCTGTATAATATATAACTGCACCAACATTGCAATAATCAGATATTTTTAAAATTTAGATTACATAACAGTCAGTCTATACTAAGCATCTGAAGATTGCATTGTGCCTGAGACTCTGAGTCATGCTATCGGTGAACAATAATGTGTATATTTATTAATATATAAATAGTTCTATTGTATTATGTTGAGCACTGTTTTACTAACACCCGCACTATATGTGCAATATATATATATATATATATATATATATATATAAATGAAAATCAGCTAGACTATATACCCAAAATACATATATTTACAAAAATAAAAATTTAATTTAAAATTCTCAGTCTATGCTTTCCTTTGTTCATTTGTGTTGTTTTATCAGAAAAACATCACTTTAATTATGAAGGACAAAACACGCTGCAGGTAAACTTATCCCATTTTGTCATAATTTTTTTCGCCTAAAATAATGCATTTGACAAGCTTAAAAAAAAAAACAAACTGGAGGTTTTGGAAGATTACTCATTGATTAAAAATGGAAAATACTTCTAATGCACTAAACTAAATTATGTCAAACTGATTAATCAATCAGAATTTTTGATAGTCAAATTCTTTTCCTATAATTTCTATTCCTATAATCTCTTATCCTATAATTTATTTTCCTATAATCTCTTCATGATTTCACTGACAGCTTTTCACTATGACATACATTTTATTTTGTCTCTTATCACAAATGTGTAACAAAAATTTTCTGCATCATTTAAATGAGAGGAGAGTTACTTGCGGCAACAAAAGATATCATGTGACAATGACTTACCTTGAGGGCTGCCGTCCCTGCATATTGCTGGCTGATTGCATCACCATTGTTGGCCCAAATTTGTTGGAAAGCAATACGACAACTTCTTGGTAAGGTTTCATCAGGCGGAAGAAGACCCAGTTTCCGGCACTAAAAAAATAGAAAGATAATATCAAATTGATGACTTATAAGTGTGTGATTATTTGTGCATCTACATTTGGTTTGATTTTTTTGTTTTTTTTACTGTCACTTCACCCACTACAGGGCCCAAGGGTCACTCAAGGTAGATTGTTACTGAGTGAGATTGTTGTAATCGAGGAGGAAGGATAAAGTAAGAAATGCATATTATGATTATGTGTAGGAGAGATATCAGTTAATCCTAGACTTAAAGTTTGTAGTTTCTAACTATGAGGTCGCATCCACTTAGGAGTTTGTTCCACAATGTCACAGTTCTGGGAAAAAAGCTGCTTGAGTAGAACTTGCTCCTTATCATAGAAACATAAAAGAAATGGGAATCATTTGCCAACATAAATATGGCATTGCAAATCCTACCAGTGAAGGTCTGATCTGGTAAAACTAAGGAATATGTGTTTTTTTTATATATACTAAACAAATTATATCATTGTTTATTTAATATATCTTAGCTCTGTTCTTTTGTGCTTTTTTACAACCAGCAGTCACTTTGCACTATATATATATATATATATATATATATATATATATATCCAAGTATATAATTGGTGTATACGGAATGAATTCCAATAACCAACAATTACTATTCTTAAAAGAGTGCTCAATACAAAGTAGAGCAGATATAATTATTTTTTATAAAAAAAAAAAAATTATAACATAAATATGTTATAAAATCACTACAAAAATAGCCATTTTGTTTCAACACCCTCGGTGTCTTATCAAGTGATTTTATAACATATTTATGTTATAAATTTTTTTTATGTTATATATATCTTTTTTGTCTTATCAAGTGATTTTATAACATATTTATGTTATAAATTTTTTTTATAAAAATAATATATATATATATATATATATATATATATATATATATATGTATGTATGTATGTATGTATTTATTTGTAGTTATGATATTCAAATTGATGCATTCTTCTTTTTTTTTTCTACAGATGCAAAATGTGCATCTTATATCCCAGCATACCAAGAAATTGGAAAAGTTTTACATACACACTCTTCTTTTTCTACTTGGGATCACATTCCAGGATTCAAATTTTGAACTGTGCAAACTCAACCAGCACCGAATCAAAGTTCATCATACTACAAGTCCACTGGAGTAACCACGTCATTTGCATGGAGTATCAAGACATTAAGGCTGATTAAAGAAAGACGCAAACAAAACCACATTGGTTCACGATCAGATCAAAGAGGAGAGTGCTGCTAACTGATTGCCTTGGTGTGCCATTGTCCACCAACTTGATGCAAACTTCAAAGGAGCCCAGCACCAGAAAAATCAATATTCATAGAGAATAGCGTCACCATGCAACTTTTACATTGGTTACAACTACTAATTTCTAGTGCCCCCACTGCTCAAGACTTTGCATGTCCAGATTTGGTTTATGTAGTCAGCTCCAGATCCACTGGTGGAATGCAAGACATCTTTGAACCCAAAGGACAACCATGAATGTGTGTGTGTATGTATATATATAAGTAAACATCGAACACTCAGAGGTGACAGGGTGTTTCATGCTAGACACAATCATCAGGCCACATGAAGAAGCCTGTCACCTCTGAATTTTGACTTCAATTTTCACTTTTATGTTTACATACACTATCTCTGATATTGAGCACTTTATCCCATAAATATAGCACATCTCAAAACTATATTTTTCTTCATATATATATATATATATATATATATGTATATAATTATTTATTCAAAAATTATAACATAAATATGTTATAAAATCACTACAAAAATAGCCATTTTGTTTCAACATTTCTGGTGTCTTATCAAGTGAAGGTGTTGAATGTATAATAAAGAGTTTTAAAAGGTTCAAATCAATCAAACCCCCCCTCACTAGGGGAAACGCTGTCCATAAGTTGGAATGACCAATCAAAATACAAGTATATGAGAATTCAAAAAACTTGACAACGAACTTTGGTTATAATAATTATTTAATGCTTTAATGTTAGGGTTAGACTAAAATAGAATTCATTCTAAATAATAAATATTAAATTATACTATAAAATTAAAAATTACCAATTTTAAATTTAATCTATATTAAGTTTAAAATTATAAAATTATTTAAAGAAGAAACTGAGGAAAAAAATACATATATTTTTATATTTATTTTGTCTTTATTGAAATTAAGTTGGAATAAACGTTAAGATCTAATGCTGCTCTGAACCCCGTTACAACTTAGATACATTTGGAGTGAAGACATGGACGGAGGGGGAGAGGGGATGAAATCTTGCAAAAGACAATACATACACAATCAGATTATAATACACAAACACGCAGACATATTTGGATATATAAACACACAAAAAAGCGCTGAGACAGGAAATATGTTTTATATATATAAATATATATAAACATAACCAAAAATATGTCCAGAGATGCTGACCTGTACTTGTAACTACTATCATCCAATGATTATGATGATTAAAATTTCCTTCTTGGTTTAGTTACCCATTTTGGGTTCCTTTATTGAGTTTGGTCAGACATGTTAACATGGATTACTGCTTCATTTTTCAGTCATTGTATAGATTAGTGTTTGTTTTGGTGCTTTCTCTTTCAGTTGGTTTATACTCACACATGCACAGAGAGGAATACTGAAAGGTTTTTCAGATTTCTTGACATTCTAAAATATGACCAAATAACTAACAGATTGCAACAGCTATGAGATGTGATTAAATATGCTTTAAGGTTTAAAAAAATATATTCAGTATTATTATTATTGTTTTGGTAATGAATAGCACAAATAGCTATATTGTGGAAAAAGGAATTTTCAATAATATACACATTTTTTACGTATTTGTGATTATTTTTTAAATTTTATCAAAAATGACATTCTTGTACATGGATAATATATATTAATTACTAATTTTTACTAATTTTTTTAATTAATAACTATTTGTGCTCAGTTGTTGACATTAATAACTATCAGCTGCATTATTTACATTATTCGGACTATTGTCCTCATCTTTGTCACCATATTTATCACAACGTTTCGGCCGTTGTATGCTCTGGCCTTCTTCAGGTGGTTGGAATGTCGAACTGAACCCTTTATTTCGCTCATCGGGGTAGACTGTTCTAGTTCCACGTGCCATGTTTGATGGATGTCAGTTATCAGTTATCTCCTGTTAATTCCCCTCTCAAAGTTCTCCACTGCCTTAACCGGGTATTGAACTCACACTCTTTGAAATATAGACAGACACGAACTATCAGCTGATGTGTTAAAATTTTGGAATAATGGAAGAATAAAAATTTAAAATTCATCACTCTGATAGATATCACAATCTGTAAACATCAAAATTTGGGTTGGAATAACTTCTCTTTGAAACCAAGAACTTTTCAGCATGACCACATCATGCATAGAATCAGAGATATATGGGGCTGTTTTTACACAATAACAGAACATATATCTGATACTATATCCCATATACCTGAAAAATTATTTTATCATTTTATATATGTTAATACGAACTCCTTAATGTTCTATAACCTTAATCAATCTTTCTATTGTTTTAATATTACTTAAGAGATCTTCACTTGAATATTTTTCCCTTCCTATCTATATGTTTTTGAGTGATGGATTACAGTTTTCTATTGGATTAATATCTGGAAATAATTCTATTAATTGGATGTCTCTAAGGACCATTTTTTTCGCAAGATGAACAATACTCAGCTTTGAAAAATGTGAAGGAGCTTTGTCTTACAAGAATATATGCTTTCGTTTAAATTTTTTTGGTTGTAATGTCAGAAAACTACTCAAAGATATCTTGTCCAAGAACCTGAAATAATTCTCTGTATTTATCTTGATACAATCATCAACTTTCAATCCAACACTAACATATAAATATTTCTAATGAAAAACAATAATATAAACTAAAATATATTACATATGAAAATTTTACCAATATCTGTTGGTCAATAACAATTTTATTGCGAAAAGAGAGAAGTTTATAAAATTTAATATAATGCATACATGCACACAACTTGGAATGGATGGCTTGTCTCACCTTGAATTTAGAATGCCATAAATTATACTAACATTTGTTTATCAAGTTGAATGCACATGAAATATGATTAACCAACGAAAATCAAACTACATGAAAGCAAAAATAACAAAATGTCTTTCTTGTTTTTCTCCATATCTCATTCTCTGATGAAGCTTTAATAAAAGTGAAACATGTTTGATTGATAAACATTTCCTATTTATTTTTTATCTCATCACACACACATATATGTTGTATCATTGAGGTGAATGATACACAGAGAACAATAAGTGCTTAATATATTTATTCAGCGCCAATATCCGGTGCTAACAGATACATACAAAAAACACAGAATGATAAGTTAAAACAATTAACAAGACAACTTACAAGGAATAGAGGAGGGTCAAATGTTGCATAGCTAAATGAAGTAAGATCAGTCCAAATATTAATCAGCTTAATATCAACTTATTAATCAACTGTTGAAGTCTTTAATTGTAGACTATTTAAGACTATAAGCCAGGCCATTTGGTAGAGTGCTGAAGGGGTGCTAGCTACTCTTCAACAATATAGTAAAAAATTAAAATTAAAATTAACAAAAATAGAAAGTTGTGTAAGACAAGGATGTGTCTTCTCACCAGATTTATTCAACCTTTACAGTGAGGCTCCATTCTGAGAGAATTAGAAGACCTACCAGGATTCATTATTGGTGGGCACAATCTTAACAACATAAGATACGCAGATGACAAAGTGTTGATAGCAGACATGGAAAAGAAAATACAAAAATTACTACAAAAAATTGAAGGAAAGCAAGAAGAAAAGACTAATCATCAATTTCAAGAAGACAGAATGCGTAGTTGCCAGCAAAAAGGAAGAGCCCAACATGCAAATCACAAATTGAAGATACTAAAATCAAACAACTACAACAATTTAAATATCTGGGAAGCATTTTAACAGAA